GAAACAATCCACTGCTGCTTTGTGCTAGACCGACAAGCTAAGCCTGATTCTTAACGTGCTTTTTTCATAAGGAAACAATCATCTGCTAGACATGTCAGCCTATGCAGACACATTTTTCCCAGTCGATCAGTCTTTGCTCTTACTCCTATACGACGCGTGCCTAGCGGAGAAGCAGCAAATACATATTTTCAAGTCTTTGGTTTGACCCCGTCGGGTTCGAACGCACAACTAGCCGCTCTCAAAGGGAGCACGCTACCAAAAGACCATGAGGAGGTAAAAAAAGAGACTAAAATCAATTTTGTAAACTATGCGTTCTCATATGTTTTGTTACTACCCTAATGACCTTAATATCAACTACAAAAATTGAAATATTTTGAAAGTTTGTTTTGGTGACACCCTTAAAAATTTCTCGGTCCGCCCTTGTTCACATGAATCCTTACAAGCGTTTGAGAAAAACAAAACAAAGAAAGGGATAGTAATTTATTTCTGTTCGAGGCGTTTACTTGAAATTATTTTATTTACAGTTATCGAACATTCCTTCTATAAAATGATAGAATAAGTATGTTGTGTATTGGACTCAGTGTATTGTGTAAATCACAAACTAATAAATAGATATTAATAATTTACAATCATGCGATGAGAGTATATATTGTCTCCGTGGTATTATGTAGATAAATAAATATCTTTTATACCAGTTGTGATATAATGTAACTCTTGAAAGCTGGATATAAAATTAAAACATGTAAGCATAATTATAATGATTCAATAAAAATACGGACACACATACAATTATCTTTTGAGCAATTATTCTATAAGAACTATTGTACAAAATAAATTTGTTCAATTACGTGTATTAATCCCATGATGACTTTAATAGTTTTACATTACCAGTTATGTAAATACTACAGGCCCCTGATAAGAATGATTTAACATAACTGTAAATGATGTGAATACCTACAAATTATTCAAAAGGTAGATAGACACCTTTGGATAATTACGCCCGTCGTATTGTTATACAAGGAACATGCACACAAGTCAGAAAACCCATATTTCTGAGGTTGAAATTAAGTAAAACTGACATGCATCGGAATAGTATTATCTTTTGTTATTATAATTGACTTGAAATTTCTAAGACCACAAAATACTGTCCTCGCGAAGTAAAACCCAGTTTTCGGGTTATGAGCTTGTTTTATACCGTTTTCGGCTCAAGATATACATGCATACTTCATCAAACCAAGTTCAACCCGCGTACACTGATATTCATGATGTTTTACCGATATATATTTCTCACGAAAAAACATGTTAATAAAACAAATAAATGTTTTTAACAAAATCTTCATTAAATTTCATTCATAATATTGATATATATATATAATATATGAAGCGATAAAGAAGCTGTGTTGCATTCGATAACGTCAGCGTATCTTTACGCAGTAAAAGGTGTTTAAGGTCAAGTAACAGTAAATGGGCTATATGTCACAGATTTCAGTAAAATTTTGCATACAACTTTGGCTCGATGAACTACAACTGAAAATCGAAAAAATAATGCATTCATCTCATTTATCATTTGAATTATTACTGATGGGATTCTTTTAAAATGGGTCAGTAAACATTTGTATAGAAAGCACATAAAATCGGCGAAAAAAACTTCTAAAATTTGTCTTAAAATCATCAAATCTCTAATTTCTACTCCATAGATTTTTCTTAAAAAACTATATGTTGTTGATATATAAATTTCTGTTTTAATGATGCAAAATAAAGATAGGGTCACCGACTTCGTTTTTACGGTATACCTCTTTCACAGTTGTGTTCTTGGTGAAAAACTCCCACAAAACGTCGAAATAATCGTAACGTCATCGCGTTGCAGGCTGTAAAACGTTGATTTTTGACGTTTTTCATTACCAACAAGGTAACCAATTGATTATTAGACAAAAAACGAAGTCGGTGACAATATGATTATTTTATATCATTTGAACAGAAATTTATGTGTCAACAACATATAGTTTTTAAAAAAAATCTATGGAGTAGAAACTAGAGATTTGATGTTTTTAAGCCAAATTTAAGATGATTTTTCGACGATTTTGTGTGCTATCTATACAAATATTCACTCATATTGAAAGAAATCAATCTGTAATATTTCAGATAATAAAAGAGATAAACGCATTATTTTTTCGATTTTCATTTGTAGTTCAACGAGCCAAGGTTGTATGCAAAATTTTAGCAGAATCTGCGACATAGCCCATTTGCTGTTCCTTGACCTTAAAAGCACACTCAGATGTTCGTTCGACCAATCACCAGTCGAAGAAATTGCCATAGCATAACTTCGGATTCCCTCAAAGTCATCCTTGTAAAAATCAAGAGATAAAGAACTTTCTTAAGTGAATGCAGTTGACACCAGGGGACGATGCAATTAGGATACAAGAACATTTCATTTAACGAAATAAAAAAGGAACGTATTAATTCTGTATACATCTCCCATTTCTTTCTTTTTTTTTTGTAATGTTCAAATCAATACGTATATACAGCCAAAACTAAAAACATATGTGTACAGAATAATCTTTAAACAGATGTTTGCATATAAAATTCCATATTATTTTAAGTAAATCAATATTTTTTACTGTAAATAGCCAAATGATTTTGTTTTGACGGTTTAAATTATTAATATTAGTATTAACTGTTACATTGCTAGACAACATATCACCTCTTTCACCAATATATTGTGTACAATCAAAAAGAAAATGAGACTCATCTTCAACTGTACTGGAAGTACATTTATTACATATTCTGCTGTGTCCGGGAATACCTTGATTTCTTGAAATATCTACTCAGTTCTAATTGTAACATATGCCAAGGACTTTAAGTTTTACCTGTGTTACCTGTAAAATGAATGCGCGCTAATGTAATCAAAAGCTGCGCGCAAAGTATTTTTTTTGTAATCCCCAAATGCGCACAAATGTAATGCGCCCAATGTAATGCGCCCATATGTTAGTTATACGTCCTTGCATATGTGAAGAAATATGCAACCTTGTAAAACTTCTAAGTTCAAATCAACGTGAGATTGTCAAAACCAAAATTTGATGTATATACATGAACATTCTTGATAGCTTGGTTTGGATATACTTCTTAAATTCGTAAATAGACTCATAAAAAAGGAACATTTCTAGCTTTTGTATATATATATACAGTCAATTCCAAGTTGACTTCAATCTAACATTTATTGAACCATACCATGACGTTTTATTCTGTTGGTGTAGTGTTTTAGGTGGTTCACATGCCTCTTTTAATAGGGGAAAATTACTTCCTAAATTCTCTACCAGTACAATAGCATACCTTTAATTATATTTAAATAAATTAGAGATTCCCCGAGTTCAGATAATACTGCAACATTTGCTGAATTTTTTTGTGCACTCCAAGTATAAATTTGGTAAACTGTATGTGCAGTTTTTGAAAGATACATCTTCCTTCTTACATTAGGAGGAAAGAGAATGAAACATTCCCCATACCGCCTCGCTACCATCAGAGACATATTCGATTCAATTCAATTCAAAGTTTTTTTCAAAGTCGATATTCAGTAAACTACATAAACACAAGCTCTAGTGAGCTATTCAAATCGACTGAATAACAAAATATATACACACATACAAAAGTCATGAAAGCTACACCATTTTAAACATACAGTGCATGGTAAGATACCATAGATGACATATAAAAGTTAAAAGCATAGAATGCAAAATAAAGTATTTCTCAAAACATAGCATAAGTTAGAATGATAAGCACAGCAGATAATAGCAACTAAACATGCCAAACAAGTTAAATAATCAAACAAAAATTAAAAATTGAAAAGCACAGGCATAAAAACACTATATGCATGCACTGCACTGGCATGAGCTGTTATTAGGATCGATTCCCATGTTTGTACCAATTTTTTTAATTGGTCAAATATGTTTCCATTCGACAATGGTTGGGTAGCTCATTCCAGATTTGTGCAGCATTATAGCGAAACGATCTCAAACCATACCTAGTAGTTCTGACTCTCGGGAGTACTGCTGTTTCCTGTGATCTTAAATTATACTTCTGAATCTTAATATCAATTAAATCATGAAGATAGCTTGGACTTTTTTTGTGAATTATTTTAAAAGTTTCTGTTGCAATAGTTTTTATTCTTCTTATTTTTAAAGAAGGGAATTTTGACTTTTCTAGCAGTTTTTCGTATGAACTATTATAATCTTCATAGATGAATATAAGATCTCTTTCTTGCATTTTTTCCATTTGAAAAGAATTTTTTCCGCTACAGTAGTGCCAAATTACTGGACAATAGTTAATTCGAAAGAATGAATGAGTAGTATGCTGTTAACCTACCTAGCCTGTTTAAATATTTACCCATACGTTTTAGAGTATTTAATTGTCTTGATGCCTTTTTACATATTTCAGACATATGACTGTTAAAGTTTACGTCCGAATCTATAGTTATTCCAAGAAATTTTGTTTCCATTTAAATTGAATGTCAAATTATGTTTATTTGTTTTTTTCCCGATGGCTATAGCCTGGAATTTGTCAGGATTAGCCTTCATTAAATTTATCGAAAACCAGTTTATTAGATTTAAACTATCAGTTTCTAAACATATAATACATTGTATTCGATATATGTCTCTGGTTATGGTAATCTCAGATTAAAAACAGATACTGTAATATTAGTTGCAGTTGATATAATATTCCATAATATTTCTACCAGTTAAAATAATGTTCCATCATATTAATCATTATTATAAAGGGACTTATGCATTGCATGACAGTCCTATCTATGTCTAAACAGTATTTTGAGATCACCCCCTCTAATATCTTCAGACTTTAGTTTCGTATCAAGATTTTGCTCACAATTTCTATAATTCATTGCTCATGTATAAAGATTATTAAAAACAATATGATTAGTTTAAAGGTTTATTTTTTCTTTCTTTTCATTCGAAAATATAACATAGCTTTACTTTACATGCGCATTGCCCGTAGCGCGGCAAAACAATTCTCTTGCAAATGGTCAATATCTGGCACTTTTTGTGCTATGGATAGGAGGGGCACAAATGAAACTGAGACATTATTGTTACAGAAACTTTGTTGTAAAATAACAGGGCTTTCTGAGGGTAATTAAATGTGTTCAGTGTTATCTACCAAAATCTGACATCAAACATCTTCAGACATGCACCAGAGTTTTTGTCTTTATAAATTATAGTCTGAGACTACTATAACACATGTGTTATAGTAGTCTCAGTTATAGTTTAACAAAAAAACTGTAATCAAGTTAATACAATATGAGACATATGTTTAATATCTGTGAAAGAGTATAAGAATTCAATACTTATTTTTGCAACATTAAAACTACAGTAAAATGTTCTCCATTCATCAATTATTCTTGCAGTTTACATATTATGAATTTATGTATTTACTAAGACCCCTCTGTTATTCAGAGCACCCCTCCAGAGCTGCGAGGGTACAATGGAATCTGTGTAAGCTCTGTATTAGGTTTAATGGAGATGTGTCACTAACTAGTATATATAAATCAAATGTCTTTATTCCAAATTAAAGGGCCCATGTAGCGCATATAAATCAATACAAATCACAAAGTTCATACAATATCCACACAACCAACACATGCAATACACCTTATCGCTATTTGTCCGCCATTACTGGACATCACAAAAGTTTCCTGTAAAATTTTGAAGTCACAACAGAAAATATCTGATGCCACAATGGAAAAGTGATTGTTGTATGACGTTCAAGCGGTGCAGATTCTTGGGTCAAGCGGCGCAGATTTCCAAATAACGATAAGGTCAATCTAACATACATACTGATCGTTAATAATTTAAAATGATTAAGAAAAAATATGGAAACATGATAAAAAAAACCATGTATATATATATATATATATATATATATATAACCATCTTTTCCACAAGTTTATTGTTTTCTGTTTGGTATTAAATTAATAATTAAGATCCATTTTGTTACATCTGGTGATCGGTTTATTTTGCAATGGCCATGGCAGTCAGCAGGGTTTAAGAACATCTGTTGTTCGACCTGCTAGTCAAATGCGTTTTGTTAAAATATACTTTTTCACTTTTTTGGTCTTTTGGAAAATGTTGTTGTGCTGTATTTAGACCCCTCTACCAAGAAATTTGTTTTGCATGCACACATATAAAAATTGCGGTTTTAATCCAACGCAATCATAGGTTTGAACGTTGTTTTCAATTTCGACTTGTTTATATATAACTTTCATACATAATATTAATTAGGAATAAGAAGATGTGGTATGACTGCCAATTAGACAACTCTCCATCCAAGTCACAATGTGTAAAAAGTAAACAATTATAGGTTAAAGTACGGCCTTCAACACGGAGCCTTGGCTCACACCGAACAGCAAGCTATATAGGGCCCCAAAATGACTAGTGTAAAACAATTCAAACAGGAAAACCAACGGTCTAGTCTATATAAAAAACGAGAAACACTTAAGAACCACAACAACAAATGACAACCACTGAACAACAGGTTCCTGACTTAGGACAGGTGCAAACAAATGCAGCGGGTTTAAACGATTTAACAGGCGCCAACCTTCACCCTAACCTGAAATAGTAGTGTAACATTTCAACATAGAAAGACACACTATACAATATCAATTGAAATGGCTTAATTCAATCAAAAAGACATATTAACAAAAACAAGTATACATACACTGAACGAATAAATTTGATCTATGACACTATATAAATACAATATTAAAATACTGAACCAGTACACAATTTTATTTAGGGGCCAGCTGAGGGCCACCTCCGGGTGCGGGATTTTCTCGCGTTGAAGACCCATTGGTGGCCTTTGGCTGTTATCTGCTCTTTGGTCGGGTTGTTGTCTCAGACTTATTCCCCATTTCCATTCTCAATTTTATTAATATTAAAATAAACTTATTTACACCAAGGACAATCCCCGTTCCAAAAGGAGTGTTGAGACACTGGGAAGTCTGTTATTATGGTGTAGGAAGCTGAAGTACTCGGAGAGAACTACCAGGCTCCTCAGCGGGAACAGACAATGCAAAAATATTACTATCATTTTAAAAACAGTCTGTTACCCTTCAGATACCCTCATCATTGGCTTCATGACAGACATGACAGAGGATAGTCCCAATTATTATGACATCTCGAAAGGCGATTTTAATATTTTGCTGGGAAGCCTTCCTACCACGTCAGAAGGCTGAAGTCATTTTTTTTGGCTGGAAGTTTGCCTTGAAAGCTTAACTGTCGTCTAGAAATTTTGCATTATATACATTTCATTTGTAACAATTCTTACCTTTTGTGTGCTTGGTGGTGCAAAATATTTCCAGAAATATCCAAAAGTAATTTATAAATAAGTTGCAATTCCATTCTAGTTGGCCATGACCTAGTGCTTTTTTCAAATGGTTTCCCAGATTTTCAAAGATCCTTCACTTTTGGAGAGTATAAAATAAATTTTAATACTGAACTCTGTAAAATATGACGGATCAGAATTTCCAGATAATATAAATATAAATCGAAATTCCAGCTGAAAAAATGGCTTTGGCTTTATGATGTAGAAAGACATGACATCATAAAAAATTTAAATAACCTTTCAAACTTCATAATTATTAGGACTAGACTGAGGGCTGAACAATAAACATGATAAAGGACTCTTTATCAAATTGCGAAAAATAAAATGAATTCCCCACAAAATTCTGTTGAAAAAGTAACTGAAATATGAAAACATATCGGATGTTGGTTCTGGTGTTAAAAATGTAGGACTTTTATTTATGAGGTAATTTTCAATGTTAACAAAGAAACTCTATCTTCAGGTACATCTTTTTTTTGTAATTTTTTTTTTTGTATTTAAAGTATTTAATAAAAAATGTAATAATTTGTACCTTTAATAGACGATTAAACCAGGACAGTTTGGCATCGATGAAAGACAATTCTACACAGAGAAAGACAGTTTAGTATCAAAACAAATCAGCACCTAGAAAAATATGCGCCTGTTTAAAAGAGAAAACTGCTTTGTTTATATTCCCACTGTTTAGCTTGCAGACCTTATTAATTCCAACGATGTAAATTGGCCTTACTGTCCAGATACTGATGTAACATGAACTCAGGGGTCAAACAATCACCATTTGCAAACACATGTACACTTTTTATTTTTCATTGAGAAAATATTAGAACTCATTATAAACTTACATATATAGTATTGATTATAAGTTTATTCATTGTTAAGCGTTTAAAACTGATAAAAAAGCTGTTTTTTTTGCTTACTGTACAGTTTGTGCATTAAAATATGGAACTTCCTATTTGTTGAGTCTACAATTTCCTGCTTTAGAATACGTAGATAATGTTATATTTGTAAATTTTTGTAGATGTTATTTTACCAGTTCTTCAGCATGCATTAAGGATAGTTGGAAGGTAAGATACATGCAACCCATACAGTTTTGATGTATTCATTCATTTAATGTATTTATATACCCAATCTTAAGGTCTCAATATCACACTCATGTGTACCTAATGAATGTTAATACAAACACATGCGTGCGCTGAACTGAGTACCATATATATATAAAAATAAGATGTGGTATGATTGCCAATGAGACAACTCTCCACAAGAGACCAAATGACACAGAAATTAACAGCTATAGGTCACCATACTGCCTTTAACAATGAGCAAAACTCATACCGCATAGCTATAAAAGGCCCAGAAATGACAAATGTAAAACAATTCAAACGAGAAAACTTACGGCCTAATTTATATACAAAATAATGAATGAAAAACAAATATGATACACAGCAACAAACGACAACCACTGAATTACAGGCTCCTGACTTGGGGACAGGCACATACAGAATGTGGCAGGGTTAAACTAGTTTGAAGGCACAAATCCTCCCCTAACCTGTTTATTTTATCAATAAACCTGGAAGATTTCAGACCTTGATATCATTTGGTAGTTTTGTTTACTGTAACACAACCATTATAGAAATGACATTTGGTGATCACAATAACACAAAACCAACAAGTGATCATACAAATATTAGTCCTATTATTTATTTTATTTTCAAGAGAAATTTTTTTTTTAAATTGTAATGAATAATAAATGTATTTGTGTTAACTTACAATTTCAGCAAAGTTGATCCATTAGTTGAAAGTGATGAAATACAGGTTGCAGAAAGAATTAAAAGGAGATGTAAGTATTACAAAATGTACTGTAATTTTAATAGCACTATATATTGACATTGCAAAATTACTTTTCTTTCATTTAACAATAAAACAATATTTATTAAAACTGTTTTTGTTGCAAGTTTTGAAACTAGAAATTAATTAAAACTGCTAGTGCATAAATGAAAACAGATTATACCTTGTCCACAACTGTATGGGCAAAACTGCGTAATTCTGGCTTTAAAAAAAACTTTGTATAAATCTTAGTACTGAGTTCTAATTAGAAGCAAAGCAATACATATTGTTACACATAAGGTTTTCTTACCTCAATGGATACACAATGTCATTATTTAAGATGCATAAAGCTATATTGTCAGTTGAATCAGGCAGTATATTTTGATTGGATTGTACGACCCACTTTTGCGTCCGATAAGTGCTTCTGCTCCTGAACCGATTTTGAAAACTTTCACATAATCCTACTCACATGATGTAATTTTGCACCGCTTATTTTATTGATGAGTTGACAAGACCCCTTCAGTCATGGTCTATTTACTTTTAAACTTTTGCATAGTTTACATATTATTATTTGGCGACTATTTGGCCTGCGCTTTCAGTCATGCTTTGCATATTTTACTTGTTAAAGTATTGCCATTTAAATTTCAATGTTTGCATTTTACAATCAAAATTACATACAAGTGAGACATATCTCTGTGTCAACAGTTAATTCATTTGATTAAAACTACATTGTCATTTAATATAACATTTTGATATGACGCCATAAGGGAACGGATAAAGTTATTGCTACAAGTTAATAAAATTGAAGTTCGTTCCTCATGCTATTATGTTCAGGAGGTACATGTAACTTATAAGAAGATATGGCGTAAATTCAATGTAGAAGCATTTTACACTTTACTTCCCTTTTCAAGTTTCTTACTGCTTTTTCAATTTATAAAAAATGATAGAAAACAGGTGATTGTTGGCCAATTTTAAATGTATTTTTCAATCACTACATACAATTGTGGCCTTGGGTAGTGATGTAGAATTGCATCTTTGGTACATATTTAAATATACAAGGTGTCCTATAACTATATTCATCAGTCTTTTACAGTCGAGATTGTTCAGTATATATTCTGTATTGGCTTTGTTGATTTTTTTAGTGGTCAGAAGAGGAAGGGAAAGTGATGCTGCTGTATTCTCTGATCTTCATAGAAAACTTCAGTCACAGGTAAAAAGGAATAACTTGTTTAAATTCAATTGTTAAGTGAAATTGGTTATGTCAGTAATCAGGCCATAATCTTGCCAGCGAAATGACGATTTTAGTCCCTATAGATTTTTGAAAATCACTGAAACTTGCCCGCAGAATGATTTCAAAATTGGTATAAGGGAGACAACTTGTGATTTACAAGTCACACAGATAAACAAAAATGGCAAGTGACAAGAAAAATTTGTAAGGGTTCCACGGAACCCAGTGTCTCGCCTACTTTTGCTGTTAATCGCAGGCTCAACAAAAATGAGGAAAAAAATTAATAAAAATATTCCTCTCTACTATTTTTTGATTGTAAGTAGCTTCTGTCCAAGTTTGGTAAAAATCCAGGATAGTTTATGAATCTAATAAATGTTTTAAAAACTTAAACTGCAGACTGTATGTAATGTTAACTGGAAGAAAAACTAAGTCCATTTATAAGTAAAATACGGATAAACAGGTACAAAATTTGAACAAATTTTCCTTCTAGATACTAGCTTTTAATCATAAACAAGCTTCTGTCCAAGTTTGGTACAAATCCAGGATAGTTTAAGAAAGTTGTTAAAATTTAAAAAAACTTTAACCACAGAGTGAATGTAATGTAAACTGGCAGAAAAACTAAGTCCATTTATAAGTAAAATACGGATAAACTGGATTTTTTTACAAATTTTACCTCTGGATACTATCTTATGATCATAAACAAGCTTCTGTCCAAGTTTGGTAGAAATCCAGGATAGTTTAAGAAAGTTGTTAAAATTTTAAAAACTTTAACCACAGAGTGAATGTAATGTAATGTTAGCTGGCAGAAAAACTAAGTCCATTTATAAGTAAAATACGGAAAAAATGGATTTTTTTTTTTACAAAATTTACTTTTGGATACTATCTTATGATCATAAACAAGCTTCTTTCCAAGTTTGGTAGAAATCCAGGATAGTTTAAGAAAGTTATTAAAATTTCAAAAACTTTAACCACAGAGTGAATGTAATGTTTCCTGGCAGAAAAACTAAGTCCATTTATTAGTAAAATACGGAAAAAATGGAATTTTTTTTGTACAAAATTTACTTCTGGATACTATCTTATGATCATAAACAAGCTTCTGTCCAAGTTTGGTAGAAATCCAGGATAGTTTAAGAAAGTTGTTAAAATTTTAAAAACTTTAACCACAGAGTGAATGTAATGTAATGTTAGCTGGCAGAAAAACTAAGTCCATTTATAAGTAAAATACGGAAAAAATGGATTTTTTTTTTACAAAATTTACTTTTGGATACTATCTTATGATCATAAACAAGCTTCTTTCCAAGTTTGGTAGAAATCCAGGATAGTTTAAGAAAGTTATTAAAATTTCAAAAACTTTAACCACAGAGTGAATGTAATGTTTCCTGGCAGAAAAACTAAGTCCATTTATTAGTAAAATACGGAAAAAATGGAATTTTTTTTGTACAAAATTTACTTCTGGATACTATCTTATGATCATAAACAAGCTTCTGTCCAAGTTTGGTAGAAATCCAGGATAGTTTAAGAAAGTTATTAAAATTTCAAAAACTTTAACCACAGAGTGAATATTTGTGGACGACGCCGACGGAATGTAGGATTGCTATGTCTCACTTTTTCGACAAAAGTCGAAGGCTCGACAAAAATCGCGATTTTTGAAGTGATCCAGGACTATTACGGTCAACGATTTAATAAAAAAAATATAACACCAACTACATACCTCCGTTGATTCAAACGGGTAACCGAGCGATTGTTCAAGTTATTATTTTACGATGAAATGTGTCTGAGGATGTTGAGTAATCACTCAGCTCAGTCAGCTGATTTGTTTTATTTACATTAATTATGAGCCGACCAGTTGTACTCGAATAGTTAAAGGGTGAGAATTAACACAGGATTCTTGATTTTCTTGTAATCATAATTGGAATATGAAAAATGAGAAACAGCTGATTAATAACTTTGATTGTATGTACATATACATGAAGCATGATTAGCTGGGGATCAGCAGCTCGTTTTGTTTTCATGACCAATTCAGATTCCTAATAAGAGAGAGATCTTTTATGAAAAAAATTTAAAGTTCTTTATTGGATAATTAATATGTGCTTTACAGACATTTTCATTTCTTGTCCTACAATCATTTATGAGAATCTCAAGTTACAGCTACAATGATATCCTGAACATTCACAAATTATTTACAAAATTATGACAAATTGTGATAATTTAATTACTCTAATAACTCAATCATTCTTTAAAAACAGATTTACAGGATGGTAGAACATATAAAACTGTCTAGTTTTTTTAGGGTCACCAATTTTCAAATTTTTAATTCTACTATAAATAAATTATTTACTACTGGAATGGCACTTTTGGAAATATTCCTTCTTAGTATTATAAACTGATTAAGAGGCAAGTCCCCAAAATCAACACAATCTCAGTTTACCATTGAAAAAAAACCCCAGATGAAACTAATAGAAATGAAAGGCCTTAATGTAAGGCAAAGTTATGAACCAAGAAATCTTGGGACTGGTTTACAGAAAAACCCTAGGCATTGTGAAATCTGTTTTGCAGCTAAAAAGGCAATGCAATGGGGAACCAATAGTGGTAGGTCAATGATATTTGGTATGCATTTGTATAAGCATTTAGCATGTCTCATTTCCATGGAGATTATTTGGCCACGGCCCCTCACTTTTGCTTAGTTAACATGTATTAGTTTGTGATTACATGTAGGTCAGTTTAAGGGGAATCGTTAGTGGTAGGTCAATGATAATTGGTATGCAGTTGTATAAGCATTAGCACATCTCATTCCCATGGAGAATATTTGGTCCTTACCCCTCAGTCATGGTCTATTGACTTTGAAAATTTTGCTTAGTTTACATACATGTATTAGTTTGTGATTAGGTCAGTTTAAGATGAACCACTAATGTTAAGTCAATGATATTTGGTATGCAAATTTGCAAGTTTCATTTCCATGAAGATTATATAGCCCCGCCCCCTCATCATGGTTCATTGACGTTGAAACTTTTACATAGTTTACAAGTTAATGTTTGTGTTTAGGTTTGTTTAAAGGGAACGACTTATGAAAAGTCAAAGGTATTTGGTATGCAGTTGTATTAGCATTGGCACATCTCATTTCCATGGAGATTGTTTAGCCCTGTACCTTTAGTCATGGTTCATTGACTTTGAATATTTGCATAACTTACATGTTAAAGTATTGCTATTTTAATTTCAGCATTTGCATTATCAAAATAACAAATAGGCGAGACATATCTCTGTGTTAACAGTTTAATTTTGTTGTATAATATTCCCAGTCTTTTTCAAGTAATATATAATATATCTGGATAAAGTCATAAATACATTTTATTCCTATCCTCAACTCTTCTCATATTTGCATTAGAATATGTGAATAGGCTTTCACTTTTAAACAAACCTTGATAATCAAATTTTAAATTGATATATTTAACTTCTGTTTTAGGGTGTGTTAAGAAATAGATGGTCTATCCTACATTTATTATTGTCATTAGCCGACAGTGCACCTAAATTAGACAATGAAACCAGCAGGGTAAGTTTAACTCTGAAATATGTACTGATTGATATGGATAATACAGAAATGATACTCTAATGAGACAAATGTAGCTGTAGCACATCGTAGGTGTTACATTTCATATAAAATTTTGTGTTCTGACAGTTCTACATGTACCTTATCTATGGTAGGTTAAGCTCAAGTATTGCTTTTCTCTGGGCATTGTTAACAGTTTACAAATGCCTTCGATAATAATTGATCCTTATGTTTACCTGGAATAGCAGCATTTTGTATTAGCCATGATAATATCTTATCAGCCACAGTAACAAGTCTTTTAAAAGTGGAGTTACAAGCCTTAGGTATGTAACTTTGTGGGAAATGATTTTCTTTCCAATTAAAAAGTTTTTTTTTTAATGAAGACTGATGTGGATTGGTTGTTAGGAGTATAGCATGTAATTTTTACAAGGTGCTAATTCTGGGCAAATTTGATCAGTAAAATGACAATCACAAAAATAAAGAATGGAAATGTGTTTACTCAAAAGCAACATGTATAGTGCTTTAAACCATACAGTACACACACAAAGTAACAGATAATAGTTTAAGGTTGTATTGGTAATATGACTGAATACAACTGCCATTAACATCTGTGTAGACAATTTATGGTTTTATCTTCATGCCTTTCCATATAAATCTCTCATCTGTTGACGTTTAAATGTAATTAAACTGTTGACTGAATTTATTCCTTTTCTACTGTCATAGTAGATGGTTTACCATTCAAAAACATAATCTTACCTAAAGATTGTCATAGTAGATGGTTTACCATTCAAAAACATAATCTTACCTTAATGTCACTCAAGATTGAATAAGTATACTGGTTAGGTTGAGTAGGGCTATTTTTTGGGGTATTAATAGGAATAAAAAAAACAGATTTGTCTTTTATTTAGGCCAATGTCCTGCTAAAATTTAAAACACAAAATATCTCAAGATTTTAAGAATTGTGGTGTCTTGTAATGAAGGCCTTAAACTACTTGAGACTATGAATTTTCATTTGTAAATAGTATTTTTGCATAATTTTGTTGTCATCCGAGTTATTGTGATAAAAGTATTACTTCTAACAGAGTGGACTTGGAAGTTCCGTATTTGGAGTTGGATTACCCACTCATGCTACATCAACACCATTCAATCCTGCTCTACGTCACCTGCAGCACCCTACTCCAGGTAGTAGAGATGTAACCTCACTGCATTCGATCACACACTCCTCTGGCAGCAGTGGTATTAGTAGTATACGCAGTGATATAAACAGTAATGATCCAACGCCTATACCACAGTCATTTTTACCTGTGTATGTATTACATTCTTTTTGTGTTTTAATTTCATTTCATTTTGATTTTTACATCAATTTTCGCTATACAAAAAACTAATCAAAGATACCAGACTTAATATTCCAGACCCGCTTTTTGTCTAGATCTACACAAGACTTATAAGTGATGCTTGAATAAAAAAAGGCAAGATCTTTGTACATAAAATCAGTTGATTTACTTTGACTGCTTTTAATAATTGTTAAATAATGAACATATTTTTGCTTTTGATGATGTTAATTCAAATCATATTAATGTTTTATATCAAAAGAAAGTTAGAAAATGAAAGGACCTTAGTATTTATTTAATATCTATGAAAGTATGTATGATAAAAAAAAAAATTATTTCAAGGATTTTTTAATTAACTAAATTTTATAACTACAGAATAAATTGTCCTGATGATGATATTACTTTGTATTTACAGGACAACTTTCACCCATGTAGACCCAGACAGAAATAGTAGAAGTACAGGCATGAGATTAGCTTCCACACTTACTGACAGAGGTAAAGTATCAGAATAATGTATAAGGAATATGTATGTGAAAAAATAGATAGCTGGTGAAATAAACTTCAAAACAAAATTAACAAACATCTAATAATCCAAGGGTAATACTTCTATTGTTTACAGTGATTGTCTAAAGGATTATATAATGAGTGTTGAAGAACATTCATCAATATTAAAATTGCAAATGGAACAAATCTTTTATCAGACTGTCTTTTAGGTCGTATTTGTTCAATTTCTTAAACATTCAATACATAGTAATATAAGTGAATTGCTCTTTTCAATGAGAGACAAACCAAGTTTATTTTTTTTAAATGTTTACAAATAAAATTATGCATTTAAATGGATGTGGGGTAGAAGTCACTACTGAAGGATACACATACAGTAACCTGAAAAATTTCCATGAGCCTGACAAAAGAACTAGTATGAGTAAAATAAGATATGAGGAAGTATGGAATTAAGAAGACAATAGAATATTGTTTATGATTATTTTAGGTACAGAATCAGCATTAATGCCAAGAGGTGCTAGAACAGTTATAGAATCAGGGATACCTATTAACAGGGGAGATAATAGTATGTATTTACTGAATCAATTATTGTACTGCACAGAAATAGAATCAGGGATACAGTATTACCTATTAACAGGGGAGACAGTAGTATATATTTACTCAATTATTGTACTGTACAAAAATAGTAGTTAGTTACTTACAAAACAATAAATGCTCGTTAAAAAAAGTGTTATATCAAAAGCAGTAGTTTCTACATCCATCTTCTTTGATAGCTATATAATACAAGGTATATAATCAGCATTAAAGTGTGATGAAAATTAGATTAAAAATGTAAAAATAGATAGTTCTAACTTATTTAACTTATGTAAACTAAGTTCAGTTATAAAATTCTTCTTACATCATAGTTTTATAATTCCTGTATGATTACATATCTACAAATACTTGAATGTGACTTGTTTGTTAGAATTTTTCCCTGTGTTTAAACTTCTCAAAAGCCCCTATTGCCAATCTACTTTCCTAACCTATGTAAATACTGTGATATATTCATGTGCAATTCACATACATGGAATCCTAGGGTTCATAGAAAGTTAAAACTGAAAGGGGGAAAATAAAAAAAAACATTCGAATTGAGAACTATTAGGATGAAACACATTTTTCCCTTTGGACTTTTATTCAATCTGTGAGTTATTCTGCCAAGTTTACACATCATTAGACCTTATCACTATTTTGGAATCTGTGACACTTCACCTGAGATTTTGCAACACTTGAATTATTGATGTCATACAACAATCACTGGTACATTGTTGCATCAGACATTTTCTCTAACGATATCAAGATATTACGGAAATGTCTGTTAAAGTCAGTAATGGCCAACAAATAACTATAAGGTGTATAATCTCTATAGAAAATGTGTTCAATCAAATATGAACCAAAATACTATCTAACTGAAAATAATAGTAAATTTTGTTTTTATTTAGCCTCTTATGAATTGCCAGAATCAGAGTTAATCAAAGATATTGTTTATACCTTCCAAGGAATTGATGGAAAATGGATAAAATTTGATCCGTCCAAAGATGCATACAGAATAGATTCACAGGTAAACAACTGATTCCTGATTTTTCTCTCTTTATGGTCTTTATTAAAGGTAATGTCTTATAGGATGACCTCTGACGTGAAGTAATCTCTTAAGATAGGAAGTAGTTGTGTTGGAGTTAAAATTCTTGAATCAAATTAGAAATTTCACTGTATTATTGACTCGCTTGACTCAAAGAAACATGTGAACTTTTCTGATCACTTTGTGATGCCTTTCATCTGTTAACTTTTTAAAAAAATCTTCTCTGAAACTACTGGGCCAATAGACCACAATCATCCTTTAGAGTATCTAGTTTTAAAAATGGATCTGATGATCCCACCTAACAACCAACATGGCTGCCCATGCTAAAAATAAAACATAGGGGTAAAATGTATTATAGGTAGGGAAAATCTAGTAGATAGAGGGAAACTGTGAACAGCAAAATTGATCAGCAGGACAAGATGTACAAATTATTTAATATGTCGGAAATAGACAGTTGACTCCTCATTGCCCTTAATAGACCTTTTTACCCATTATTGTGGAAACTAGAGTAGATAGAGGGAAACTGTAAATTTCAAAAATGACCAGCAGGACCAGACCTACTAAGGCAACATGACCCAAATTGTCAGTTGGAGTTATTGCCCTGGAAGGATGATTATCCAGTTTCTGTTATTTTTGTGTAAACAGTAGAACATTGTAAGAAGTAAAAATGACAAGCAAGACAAGATCTTCACATCTGTCAACAACAACACAGCCAAAATTGTTTGTTGACTCCTGATAGAAGTTATTGCCCTTGAAAGACACCTTTTATCTATTTTTGTGTTTCTTGGCAGAAATTTTAGTAGATTGAAAGAATCTGTTTATATCAATATTGACAAGCAGGACAAGTTCTACTATTAATTCATCATGACACAAATTGTCAGTTGACTCCTTGTAGGAGTTCTTACTGTTGAATGATGATTTTTGTCGAGCCTTCGACTTTTGTCGAAAAAGCGAGACATAGCGATCCTACATTCTGTCGGCGGCGGCGTCCACAAATATTCACTCTGTGGTTAAAGTTTTTGAAATTTTAATAACTTTCTTAAACTATCCTGGATTTCTACCAAACTTGGAAAGAAGCTTGTTTATGATCAAAAGATAGTATCCAGAAGTAAATTTTGTAAAAAAAAAATTCCATTTTTTCCGTATTTTACTTATAAATGGACTTAGTTTTTCTGCCATGAAACATTACATTCACTCTGTGGTTAAAGTTTTTGAAATTTTAATAACTTTCTTAAACTATCCTGGATTTCTACCAAACTTGGAAAGAAGCTTGTTTATGATCAAAAGATAGTATCCAGAAGTAAATTTTGTAAAAAAAGTAAAAAAAAAATTCCATTTTTTTCGTATTTTACTTATAAATGGACTTAGTTTTTCTTCCAGTTAACATTACATACAGTCTGCACTTTAAGTTTTTAAAACATTTATTAGATTCATAAATTATCCTGGATTTTTACCAAACTTGGACAGAAGCTACTTACAATCAAAAGATAGTATAGAGAGGAATATTTTTATTAATTTTTTTCCTCATTTTTGTTGAGCCTGCGATTAACAGCAAAAGTAGGCAGGACACTGGGTTCCATGGAACCCTTACGAATTTTTAACCATTTTGTGTAAACTATAGTAGATTATGAGAAACTCTAAAACGCTAAAACTACCAGCAGACTTCCTCCCCAAACCAAATTTGGCTGTCATGATAAAGCCATGAATGCTAAAATGTGGGTTTAAGCATCAACAAACAAACAAATGTTAAATATTTTTATGCCCCCGCTGTAGTAGAGGGGGCATTAAGTTTTACCCTTGTCCGTCTGTACGTCCGTACGTCCCCAGTTTTGGTCTCCACATAACTTTTTATCTTTTTAAACAACCAACCACATTCTGCTAGTGGGAATCTACTCAGCTAAAAATTTTAATTTTTTGCTCCATGCCTAAACCAAGAGCCTAGCTATGTGCATACTGAAAAGTAGCAAAGTATAGACCCCTGGCTTGACATCACACCAATCCAATTGGAACGATGGTTCAGAATAAATGCGTGAGGCTATCAGGAAGCCTATGAGGCTATCATGCCTAGAGGCTATCATGCCTATGAGGCTATGAGGAAGCCTATAATGAGGCAATGAGGAAGCCTATAAGGAGGCTATGAGGAAGCCTATAAGGAGGCTATGAGGAAGCCTAGTAGTGTTGATGTTGAATTGGTGTTGGAATGAATTTGTATGAAATTTGACAGTTTATCCCCAGAAATTCTTGGGGGATGAGTGAAATTTTTGAAACAACCAGTGATAAAATTTCATAAATGAAATCTATAAATCTGCTATAAACTGTGCTGAGATTGATTCCCCTGTCATGGCAATATTGAAGGTGAAAGGAGGGGTCGGCGGGTGGCAAGTTTTTAGCTAAAACACTATTAGAGCCAAGATTAGTCTAATAACTGCTTAATCTGCATTTAAATAAATGGATACTCAAGGCAGCATACACAGGTTTTTAATACACAACTTCTTAATGGGATACTCCTATGTGGGAGGAGTTAAAACTGCACCCAGGTTAATGTATAAAGAACAAAGGACAAAGGAAGCCAAATGCCACAAGTGGTCACTAATTAACAAGACATGTATATTTGTATTGGAACTGATGTAATTAAACCTCCTGCTAAGAACATGTGATAAACTTCACATCTAACTGATTGAGATATGATAATAAATCTGTTTCATCTCAACAGTAAAGAAAACACACATCCTGGGAAAATCCTAAAATAATGACCACTGAGTGTAATCATGGAAGTAATATTTAAAAGGAATAACAACGACTAATTAGCATGTATTAACAGCCTGCAGAGCTCTGTACTAAAGTCATATGATTTTATCCAATTATAGTCTCAGCGGCAAGACCCCTTTGGTTACTATCTGTGATACCGCGGTTGTAAAATGGCATCTGGAATTTCTTATCAGTCACATGATTTTATCGAGTCCGGTAATTATAAAGCACCTGTGTGAAATCCGATGTTTATTAATAAGAAGGTGGCGCTGTATCATATAAAACCTCTACCTTCAGAAAGAAGTCGTATGATGTAAAAAACTTGAAAAACGGACGAGAACTGTTCAACCTACAACAGTTTAGCTTGGAAAATTGTATTTAATTTAGCATATTTTTGCTTTTTACCGTTTGTTTTAAACTGTTCTAAAAGTATTTTCCGGTTAAAAGCGGATCCCGAGTAAAACAGTTAAATACCGATGAATCGATCAGGTTTCACATGATGTTGAACAAAATAATGTAGACAGATGTAGACATAGAATATTTTACTGTTGAAATGTGCCAAGTTTATCGAGATTTATAAAAATATTTACTTTCAAGTAATTGATTACGTTATTGAAAATGGACAATGAAAATCGGGATCAAAAGTTCGTAAACATGTTAAATTTATATCTATTTTAAAAAAGTGTTTACAATTGAATACTAATATTAATGTAGCACGTTACAGCAAAAAGAAAATCAACCATACAATACGAGCTTGACGCTATCTGTCTAATCGCAAATTTATTTTATATGAATTTGTTTATGTACAAATTAAAGAATAGAAACGTTTAAAATTGTGAATATTTAATTTGCCTGGTATACACGGAAGACTTGGATTATTCGTATTTAATAAAAGGGGGTCGAAACATATTTTTTGTACAATCATCTTCTTAACTTTCAGAAATGTCTTCTTAATTAACTGCATGGTTTTAAGTATTAAAATTGAAAATGATCCACCCTTTTTCTTAAATTCAATATGTGATAACTGTCGGCCTAAACTATTAAGATCGAAAAAGACATAAATAGGAAAAATAGACTAAAATCAACATTGAATGACTGACTCTATTCGGTAGCGTACAGCAGCGGAATGTAACGAGTGAACTATTCGGGTTACTTCGTACGTACATACGACAACAACTGGTCTATTCGTAATTTTCCGGGAACACGAAAATGACCGAAAAGTGTCAGTGATTTGATCTATCACATGTCGAGAGTCAATTACCATGCCATATATTAAACCAATTAACGAGTTATCGAAAGATGGGCGGTAACGCAGATGAAACCTTTGAAGTGACGACGATGTTATTCCTTTCAATATTACTTCCATGGTGTAATGAAAATCAAACTATGTATAAACATTACTTATATAACATATAAGTACCTATTTATACAAAATTCTCAGAAAAGGTCCTGAATATGTTTAATTGTCATTTGTTCCATGTTTGCATTGTGTTCTGATTCTTTGTAAATATTTTTAGGGTAAATTAATTTATGTTTGATGTGATGTTGTACTAATCTTATTTTAATTGTCTGTTGTTTATTCTGTATCTTTTCTTTGGTAAGTGTTAGTCTGTTATGTAATAGGGAAATGTGTGTTAACACCTGAGTAAACATCCAACCTGATACCTTCTTGCGAATTTCTTTGACCTGACAATTAAACCATCCTGATGTTACTTTCTGCCCTATATTTCGACTTTTGCTAATAAATGTGTCAGTGAACAAAATCCTCAAAGTCACACATAATGAGTTCATAGTAATTTAAATAATTTAATTACCCCTGATTTCTTTTAGAACTCACCATTTGAACTCATGATATGTAAAATTAAGGATTTAGTGCTCACATCAACATTATTATCAACCTAATTTTTTCCTGTTATACCTATCTTGTAAATAAACTCCTGGGAAATATTGTGTAGCAATGCCAGTGGTATCCATGTTTGAATTAAACATAAATCATAATTGAATTAAAACTTTTATTTTATATATACACATCACTAATTTGGCCCTTGGGGAATCTACTCAGCTAAAAATTTTAATTTTTTGCTCCATGCCTAAACCAAGAGCCTAGCTATGTGCATACTGAAAAGTAGCAAAGTATAGACCCCTGGCTTGACATCACACCAATCCAATTGGAACGATGGTTCAAAATAAATGCGTGAGGCTATCAGGAAGCCTATGAGGCTATCATGCCTATG